GTGACCAGACAGTTCCCCCGATCTGCTTTTCTTACTGCTCACCCTCCGTTGTTTTATTTAAATATTCATGCAAATCTCTTTTTTAAAGAATCTGCTAAAATGTACAGAACACAGATGAAAAGACGGCTTTCTGTCCTTCTGTTTTCTTTCTTTTCAGCTCTGGCTCCAGCTGGTTCTGGTCCATAGCTCAGACTACAGCAGTCACAGTCCGGCACCAGCATCAGTCACACCTACGATCAACCAGGAATCTCCCCCAAAATGCAAAACATAAAAGGGGAGATGCAAATCCCATTGAGCCGTCACTAAACCGTAAGGAAAGGGGACGAGCTGCTCACTGAAGCAGATACATGCCCATGGATCGGTGTTTCCGTGGCAGCTTCACACCTCAGCGTGGCCTGTGATGGATCAGCGCTTTGGGGTGGAACCTGAGATCCTTAATCTACAACCTGTTGCCCGTTTGTCGGCACACCTAGTAGCACAGCTGAGTCAGCGCCTTGCCTTTCTGTTCAGACTGTGTCGGCCGTATTTAGGTCTATTTAAAATTTAAAATGCACACTTTGAACTAGAGATGCACATTTCAACAGTTATGGTCATCATTAGGGCGTTTCTCTGTAGATGACTGCTTTTAGCACCGGTTCGTTTAAAGACGACAGTGACGTGTGCTGAGGTTTACATAGAAAACAGCAGGTGGAGGTGTTCTGACATCATCACTGTGCGCCGGTGAGCAGCAGATTAACACCCTCATGTCTTCTCCTGTTTGTCTTCCACTGCCGTCCCATCACTATCCGGATTATTTTGCCCACAACACCGTTCATCAGCGTCGCTCATCATCGCTAACGGCAGCCAAACACAACACTTTGTTCTCTTGATGAAAGCTGGATTTATTTATTTGTGGGTTAAACAAACAGACGGTGTGTTTGGCAGAGATGCCCAGAAGCAGGTTTCATCTCCCTGAAGATCTCCTGTAAAGTTCTGTTCATGTGTAGCCGGTATCACACAGAATGTACGGAAGTAGCAGCAGCGCGATTAGTTATCGGACGTCGGTGAGCACGGTGGGGACCAGCAGAGAAGTTAGATGTTGATTAGTTGTCAACATCATCACGTTTTTGTAGAACATGGAGGCATTACCGATGGACCAAGACAACAAGAACCTCCGTCATGAAGTCTGAGTGTGATGAAGCTGGTGATGGGACGCTGCTGTAGCAGGAAGTCACATTTTTCCAAAAGCACACAACCAGTGTCTGACCCTAACCCTGCTGCCTTTAAGGGTTACCAGGTAGGGTTAGGGTTAGTAGATAGAGTCAGTAGATAGGGAGTCAGTAGGTAGGGTGATCGGATAGGGTTATTAGTTAGGGTTTGGGTTATCAGATAACACGTATAAGTACCTACATTTAAATGCTGACAGCTGATTCAGAGCCATTGAATAACTGCAGTTCACCATCAGAATCGTCTGTTGCTTCTAATGTTTGTAGATTTTTCACTCCAGATGTTTTGCTGCAGCCCTCTCATGTTACCAGCTTTTTCTTTTTCTGTTCAGTCTCTTGCCGTGTGTGGATGCACTCATGCACAGCTGGTATAATGGAATTAAATTCAACCTAAAATGTTTTTTTTTTAACTTTTAAAATCAATATAGAGATTAATAAATAAAAGTAAACACGTAAACCAAAGCTTTCCCTTCGCATGCAGCAGCACAGTGTTCCAGTAAATATGGAAACCAGCGGCGTGTTCACAGATGAGGCTGAATCAATGAAGGCGTCGTCTTTGTCCTGACGTGGGCGTCCCGGTCTGAGCCCGTCAGCACACTGAACAGAACCTCCTGCAGCTGGAGGCAGAGATGAACTCAGTGTTTCTAGCTGTTCTTCCTCCTGTTGCCTCCATTCAAGTGTCCTCTACTTTCTAAACCAGCAGTTCTATAAACTCAGTGATCGTCAGCCTCCGTTCCTCTTTGTCAACGGTTTGTGTTTGACATTGAATGAGTCTGAGCAGATGAGAGGAGCGCTCTGCTGCTTGGTAGTGACTTCATCAGACCGTCTCAGCCCACAGAGTGTGTCGGTGGGTTTCTGTAGAGCCGTGAACGCTTTAAACAGTGAAGTAAATGATGAGTAGCTCGCAGAAGAAGGCAGCTTTGAGCACCATCACCCTCTTTGCTGCATTATTGCTTTTGGCAGAGAACTGCTACCTTTCAGTTTCCAGAACCGGGCTTGATTTCAGTTTCACCGTAGCAAAGGTTTCAGTTTGCTTATAAGGAGAGTTAGAATAACACAGCGGACTGGTTCTGTTCAGGTCTGGGCCTGAACCCACCTCTCTACCATGTGTTCACTTTATAACACGTCTGCTTCTGTATGTCTTTGTGCTTTTCACATTTTAAGTCTTTTTTTAAATTTTTTTCTTGAGCTCCAGTTTACTTCCCTACTTTCAGGTGGAGTTAGAATCTGTGTGAAATGTTCTGGTTCGGTCCAGAGTTCTGATGTGGGGCAGCCATGTTGTCTTCATGTTTTTCATGTTGGTCTTGTTTGTCCAGGAACACCTACCTGACCAGGAAGTCATCACGCTGACTGTAATGTCCCTCTCTCCTCCAGGAAGTGCATTTTAAGCATATCTAAGCAGAGTTTCCCTGTTTTTCTGGAGGGCGTAGCTGCTGCGTGGGATAAAGTTTTACGACTGTCTTATCTGTGACAGCCGATTTTCTCCCTGCTAGTCATAAATTTATGTCTTCCATGACAATAAAGATGCTACAGGAGCTTCACAATCTGCTGCAGGTTGAACTGGGCTGATCAAACGCTTTTAGTGCTGATAAAATCAGAGCGACTCACGATAAACCACTGACAACACTGGCTAGCCTAGCAACAGGCGACAGACCTGCAGTGTGTCCATTCAGAACCACCGGCTGAGCACGGAGGTCTCATCTAAGACATGAAAGCCTTTGTCCAGAGTGGAGGGCTTCTCCTGAGCTGTTCAGGTTTCTGTTATGAGCGACAGTCACAGTGTTGGTTGAAGTAGTTCCTCATAACGTCTTGTTGTTTGTTTTCTTCTCATTATGTTAATTAGCTGTTTCCTCAGTAGAACCTCCTCCCACCACTTCATCTCCAGCCTTCAATCCCTGTCACACAGCAGCAGCTGTCAGGTTTTACTGGATCCTAGTTCTGAGCAGAAACCCTCTGACTTTGAAGTCCGGTGGGGAAACGTTGTGGTCCATCTGGGTGCTGCTCCGCCTCCCAGAAGAACCAAGAAGATAAACACAAACATTCAGAATCCTTGTTGTCCAGTTCTACTCATGGCCTGGATCTGCTCAGAGGTCTGAACTCCACAACATGGAGGACCAGACCGTACCAAACTGGCACCAGCATCGTTCATCTTTCTGCACCCTGCAGGCAGCTCTCAGGTCTTCCCTCACGTTCCTCAGCTGCCTGCAGAAATGCTCACGTTCACCGTTCCCTGAACGCATCGGCAGCTTTACGACTGTCAGTGTGTTCATGCACAGCTCAGGAGCTCAGGAGGGTTTCTACTCCTTCAGCTTCACGCTGCATCAAAGTGTTTCCTGTTGTAGGGCGGCCTAAACCTTTGTGCATGCTCCAACTACACGAACCTCCCGCAGACCCTGAACTAGAAAACAGTATCGACTTGAGGTACTTCTGGAAAAGAACTGCTGTGCATTTGTGTGATTGGTTAAACGCTCCTCTTCTGTAGCATCTTCACCATAAAAGTTCCTGCAGTGCAAAGCTTCTAAACTTTAGGGAACCTGCTGATGTGAAGATCCAGAGAGCAGTGGTCACAAACCCGTTTAGTTCTTCAGCACAGTCACAGACCTTTTATAGTGGTTCCTCTTTCTTTGACTCACACTATCCAGGAAGACGCTGAGCTGAGCTGTTAGCGGGACACAGATATGCAGCTGAAAGCCAGCGTCCGTCTCACCTCCACACTGCTGATCCAGCACAGCGTGAAGTCAACGTAGATGTCCGATTGTGGGTTTAAAAAGCCACCGAAGTGTTCAGCAGTGTGATTAGAAGGTTTCTGAAGCTAATCATTCATCACATGCAGGTCTGTCTACGTATATACAGACCTGCATGTGATGTGTATATATGTCACATATCAATAACATTCATGCTCACAGGTAGTCTGCCAACATACTGACGGTAGAAGTTTCACTGTCTTAACGGATTGGTGCTTCCTACAGACCATCACGGTGCCTGAACGTAGAGCTGTTTGATGTAGAACCTCTGTCTGTATGCTTTTATTTTAATACACTGATGTTAATGCAGGGAGCTAGAAACGTGTGCCGTAGTATCAGCCCCAGACCGCAGCATAATCAGAACAATACAATGGACTGTACTGTGCACTCTGCTGGCCCAGTTGCTTCTACGTCGTGCACATCTGGGTTACATTTTAGCGCCGATGTGTTCGGCTGATTTACAGTACGAACCTGAAAGATGGATCATTTCTCCAACACGAGTGGAGCTCGAGTTTTACTTTTCCCAGAGTTTCTGGGAAAATATGGCCGGTGGAAACAAAAAAACAAATATTTCCAGCATATTTTCACTTTTGTTTTATATGGAAAATGTGTTTTTCATTAAGAGAAAAAACATGTAATTTTCTCTGCTCCGCGAGCCAGAGATGGAGGCGAACAGTGAACATGTCTGTTTGTCCACAGCCCGGTCCGAGGCTCAGTTCTGATATTAAGCAGGAAGCGTGTGCAGCTTGATTTGTGCAGCGATTACCTGCAGCACGTTGTTTCCGAGCTGTTTTCACCGGGCCGTGGACTTTCTATAGTGAGGAAATTGACCAAAGAAATGGAAAATTCAGCTTGTTCACGGAAACATTTTTCCTTTAATGTCCATTTTCTTGCACAAAATGGAGTCTGATGATGATGATGATGATGATGATGATGATGGGATGATAGCGCTGCTGCTGCTCGTGTGGACGCTCAGTGACGGAGCTTCTAGCTTTATAAACACCTCCTGATCATGACCTCCCTCCTCAACGCTCTCTCCCTGTGTCTCTAGATGCCAGGCCTCCTGCTGCCCAGTCCTGTGTGTCTGACAGTCATCTGGTTTCTATCTTGGTCACTGCGTTCCAGTTGTGCTCAGATTTGGACTGATGAAGGTAACACACACACACACACACACACACACACACACACACACACACAGATAAACTGTATAGGGATGTCTGTGCCATCAGATTGTCAGATGCATGAACACAGGCGTCCTGTTGGGATCAGCCGTGGGTTCCTGGACTGTTCTGCTGCTCTCAGCTTATCTTGACTCAGAGCTGCTGGCATTCAGAGCTACTTCACAACAAAGGAAACACATCCAAAGTTTAAATAGGAACAATGAGGTTTACCGTAAAACAATGACACATTTTTCGATGGAAAACCTCGACCAGAGAGCTTGTTGTCATGACGCAGGTCTTTGTGGGATGCACTGCTGTTGGAGTCCTCAGCAGACAGGAGTCCTGCTGTCTCCAGGTGATGTGTGCCTGATCTCAGGGCCTGCACGGCATTAAGGCTGCTCTGCCTCTGTGATTGGATCTGCTTCATCAATCAGCCCCATAGTCCCTCCAACAAAAAGAGCCTTTTTCAGGTGAAGCTGTCAGAGTTTTCCTTCCCATGTGCTTCACCCTGCAGCAGCTCCACAGCCTCCCTGTTTTTTATTGTTTGGAAAGTACTGAGTTTCATCCAGCTTGCACTTTCTGCGTCCACCCTGATTTCAGCGTCAGGAGAAACCTGCAGCCTTCCTGTGTGTGTGTGTGTGTGTGTGTGTGTTTGTGCATGCGGGTTGTGTGTACTTAAACGCATGTTTGTGTGTGCGTGTGTGTGTGTGGTTTGGCGTGTGTGTGAGCCTGTGCACATGTCTGGGCGCTCTCGCCAAAGGCAGAATCAGATATGAGTGGAACGCTGCGGGTTTGGGGAATAATGTACTGCTCTGCCAATAAAACATGAATACACACATTCAGAGCAGCCAGCACATTACACCAGGCTCCAGGTAACGCACACACACACACACACACACACACACACACAGAGGGAGGATAGAGTGTGTGTGTGTGTGTGTGTTTGGTGGTTAAAGGGAAAAGAAGATCTGGTTAGAAACTGCAGAGAGAGGCGCAGGATAAAAAAGACAAAGCGGGAGCCGTCAGAGGAGAGAGACGTTCCTGTAATCTGAATTCATGTTTCATTACATTTAAATCCGTTGCCGTGGCGTTTGCCGGCTGTAGCTGCGTGTTGTGTGGACACAGTCAGGGCTGGATGAGTAATCGGTTTGTTATTGACATTGCTGTTTAACTCCTGGTATATAATTAACAGAGTCTTAACAAGTCGTAGAAAGTGGCTGGTGTTGGTGTGTCGAGGGGCCGATGCACCGACAAGGATTCCTCCATGAGCCTGATGGCTGATCTATACATCTGGAGGAACCGTGAACATCCTGGTGGTGGAGTAACACAGACCTACATCTAACTTCACTGGAGCAGAATAAAACTCATTTAAGCTGTTCTTCTTTAAAACTCTGAGGGGAGACCTTCAGGCCTGTAGAGCAGCTGGTCCAGTTCCTCTGAGAAGGTAGCCTGAGCTTCAGCAGCTGCTCTGCAGTCAGTCTGTACACATCATCACTGGGATGTTCTACCGGACCTGGTGAACAGAGCAGGTCTGATCAACAAGCATAGCGCTGCTTGTGAATGTGATGCCAGTATTTAAAGACGTTGACTTTCCTCTGAACAAATGTTTGAACCAGGTCCTGAGCTCCAGGCAGCCATGCTGGACTGGGCACCGCCGTACCGTGTGTGGTGCTAACACATGGCTGCAGGATTAGACGCAGTCACAACATTACCCAAACCGTTTATATCTTATTGACTTGACCTCACTTCTAGTTTCTGCTCAGATCATTTGGGTTTGTTTGTGTGATGGTCTGTCTGCTTCCTTTCTGATGCTTTCACCTGATCCTGATGATAAGGAGGAGCACTAACGACCCACGTAACGAGGGGGAGGAGCAACAACCCCCAATTGAAACCCAAACTCAGGTGTTAGTGTCTCCTTCAGGATATCAGTATGTGGAACTCCCAGCTAGTCAGTCAGAGCTGATGGAGCCTCTTGGATGAAGGTGGAACGTCTTCAAGGACCTCAAGCAGGTCCAGTTGCTTCGACTAATCTACCAGAATAACCAGGACCTGGAGGACTGAGGATCTTCACAGACATGATCCTGATGATTAACATTCCAATGAGCTCAAACCATAATGAGAGCAAAGGAATCAGGTGCCTCCTTCTTGTTCCTGACTGTGGAGCTTTGGGATGCCTGCATCTTCCTGACGTCTGTCTTCTAGCTTCACACGACTCTGCTGACTCATGAACCGTGTTGCTGTTCACGTTCACTAACGAAGCCCAAAATTAGCAGCTTCCATTTCTTCTTTCTTTGTAGAAACTCTCAGTGGGCTCCATTGTTCTCCTCCATGTATGCATTTGTCTCCTTCACTCAGATATGAATGCAGACACAGAACCACTGCAGACTTCTGCTTCATTTTGTGCAGCCGCTGACGGCAGAAAGGGCAGAAAGTGATCTCAAGGTGCCAGTGAGCACCGAGCAGCCAGAGGCCTTCAGTAGGGCCTTGGTCCTGAGTGTGTGTCGGCTTTAATTTAGGATTAACTCAGCTGCTCTCTGAAGGGCACATGAGGTGATTGTAGGAGGGAAAACTAATATAAATACAGCAAGTTAAATAACAGCATCCTGAAAATGCTTCAACTGTTCCCCTCCAGTCTCACAGGTTAGAACTGATGTCACATTTTCCCAACAATACGCTGGAGGTTCAGGCTTCACGCCGTCCGTCACAGCGTTCACTCGTATTAGAGGAGACAGAGGAAGGCTGAGTGTATGAAAGATGAATAAGGAAAAGCAACACAAACAGCGACCGGGGGCAGATCGCTGCTGCTGAGGGAGGAGAGGCCAGCGGGGAGTCTGCATGCCTGGCTGGTCGAGGTGTGAATTAATGAAGGTGTGTGCGTGGCAGGCTGGCAGTCACAGGGATGTTTTTCCACTAGATCTACAGTAAATGCCAGCTTTCACATTACGAAGCCAAGCCAAACACACACACACACACACACACACACACACACACACACACACTCACACTCGCACGGTGCAGATGGAGTATCAACTCTGCAAATTACTACAGTCACCACAAATATTTGCTCAGGTACACACTGCACTTAGTATTCCTTCAAATCTCCACCACCAGCCGCCGGCTAGCAGCTTCCAGCTAACGGCACTGATGCTAACTGTTCCTTCTGTCACACCAGGTGTTCACGTTCATCCACCTTGAATTACTTCATGCATTCTTATTTGCTGCTGGGTCTGAACTCGGGACAGTGTTGGTTTTGTGTGCACAGGTTCAGATGAAGGGTCCGTGGGTTTTATTTGTGCCGCTCTGGGCAGGTCTCTGAGTAAAAATAGTTCTGATTAATATTGCAAACAGCGAGCACGGCTGAAGCGGACTCGTCAGAACGCGGCCGGTTTGGTTCATCAAATGGAGTTTCTTGAAAACGTCCTACAGGAGCCACAGAGGAGATTGCACCAGGCTTCACGGTGTTCAGCTGGAGACAGAAGAAAAGCTCAAACCATGAGCAGATAGAGCAGAAGGCTTCTCCGTCTCCATCACAGTTTGGTGATGTTGGATAGAAACAAATACTTCAACACTGGTTCTGCTTTTAAAAGCCGCCTCCTTCCACACGTCAGCCTGTGGTGTCACACTACTGCCTGATTATTAATATCTTAAAGGTCCGTTGATCTTTTCACTGCACCTTATATGTCACTTTTTTTGCTTTAGTCCTTGTGCAGCTGGAAAACAAGATTCTACTGAATCAGTCAATCTTCTGGGCAGGTCAACCAGGAGCTGATCCTCAGTGATGACAGCAGCATCCGGTCTCATTACAGCAGCTCATGATGTCAGCGTTGGTGTCTCACATGTTTCTAAATGGACTTTAAGAGTCTGTATCATGAATTATCTGTAAATGCTCAGCTGCTCCTGCGTCCATTATTAAAGTGCTCTCAGAGTGGATTTCCTCACTCATACTCATACTATTTTAACGGTTATGATAATAAACATTATACAAACATGTACAACCCCCGGAGCAGCTTCACACTGTGTCTGCTCAGCTCGGTGTCGGCAGGATCCGAGCCTTGTACGGTCATGTTATTGTCACACTGCTGACTGGACTGTAAATGGTGGCGCTTGGATCCCGTTAACACAGACGATGCAGACACATGGTATGTCTGATTGTGAAATGTGTGGATACCAGACAACGATGTGCTTCAATATGTCATGTGATGTCTGTGTTCGCAGTGTCGGCTGTGCAGTACGGGCGCTTGGACTCCAACGTGACACTGGCATGTGGGAAGTCGCAGATCGGGTAAGAAAACCAGCAGCAGCAGCTCAGAGGAGTCTTAAAGAGCTGCTTTTACTCTCATTATTAGCAGCCACGGTCAGTAGTAAGCCACACATTTCTCACTGAGGTCCAGTGGGACGAGTTAGTGCACCCACAGCAGTCCTCAGCATGAACAGCTCCTTTAGTCCTGATGTATGAACGTCTCAAACAGGCTCTGACAGCTTCTCTACAAAAAGAAAGGCAGAATGAAACATGAAGCTGACAGCCTGCAGTGATGCTGTGTATGAATCTGAACTAAATCAGTGAAGCTGTAGACATTCACATTGGAAAGAAAAGTTAGTAAACTATAAATAAATAAAACATTCTACATGAACCTGAAGCATGTTGTCTCCAGATCCATAAAACCGGACCCAACCATTCAGTGGGACCACGAGCAGGTGTTGCCTGTGGGCCGGAGGTTTCCTTTGTACCCTTAGACTGTTCACATGGCATCATTCCCAGCCACGGTCAGCTGGACTCTCCTGCCAAAGCTGCTCCTTTGTCCCCTTATGTACGCTGTAGTGACCTTTATTCTGGGATCCACCGATGGGGGATTAACCCATCAATGAAAACAGAACTTTGCAGAACTTTTGTTTGAGTGATGAACTCTAGTGTGGGTCCTGTTTCAGGACTGACGTCAGAAACCTACAGTACTGATACTTCATGTATATTTCGGACCATTTTTGAGGATTTATCTCCTCAGAGGGAACCGATGTGCTGGAGCTGAAGACCACAGGCTGGATGAGGAATGTGGAACATTTTGCGAGCTGGACTCGTGCAGTGTTGGTTGTGGTCTGTTCTTAGGATTTGTTTACAGCAAGAAAAATACAAGAAAGAAGTCTTATTGTTCAGATGAAAGTCCTGACATGTATGTTCAGATATTTGGTGCTTAGAGTGATGTTGTTCGGTTGTTTTTGTTCCAGGTTTAGGATGTGTACCAGGTTTGTAAGTCCTGGCAGGGCTAATCAGTGAGCGTGTCCCCGACAGGGTACCAGTGGTGTGGCGTCTCAACCACAGCTCAGCGTTGCCATGGCACAGAGTGACATCAGATGGAAGCTTAGTCCTGCTGCTGGTGGACCAGGCGGCGCAGGGCGACTACAGCTGCTATGACGACCGTGGGCTCCTCCTCCACTCCGTCACACTCAGGCTGGGCCGTAAGTGTTGCTGTGCTCGTTCTCACTAATTTAGGCACCACGCTTCAAGTGTCGTACATGTCGTGTTTCGCCATGGGACTGCAGCTCTCGGAAATGGTTTTATGCTTCGGGTGCAGGCTCGCATCCCCGTCTGCTTTAGACTCCTGTTCATCCATCTCTTACAGTTCAGCTCATGCTTTGGATAATTCAGGAGCTGCTCCTCTCTCACAAACTGGTCACAGCGTAGTTTACTCTTTATTTCTCTGTCTAATTTTCTTTTTACCCCTTTTTGATGCTTGGCTTTTGTTTTTCACCATTTAGTTGATGGTTGTTTTCTGGCTTAGAGTAAATAGGTTACTTAAACTGTGATAAGCGGAGCAGCGCTGCCGGAGGCCTTATCAGCCATCACATGGACGTTTCCTCTAACTGTCTCAAACAGGAAGCAGCTCCCTGAGTGGGTTTCCTTTCGAGGGATGGGGAGTTTTCCATGGTAGTAGACAAGCCTCTCCTGAAATGTTTCGAGTCATGAGACGGAGACCAGGGCAAAGAGCTGCTTATTTTAGACTTAAGGACAAGTCAGAGAACTTTATAAAACACGTTTACAGCGTCTAATAACAAACCAGCTCCGTCTGTGAACTCTGTCTGACTCGTCTCTCCCAGATCCCCCTGGGCTGCTGAGCATTTCCTGTCAAGTGCCCAATCACACACATGTCCGCTGCTCCTGGGTGGATTCTGTGAAGACCTTTCTGCCAGCCAAGTACAACGCCTCCTTCAGGTGAGAGCCGGTTACTGCAGCTGAAACCACAACAGCCAAGGTCACATTCAAAGTGGCCCATAAATAGAATAGAATAAAATGCCTTTATTGTCACTATAAAGACACTAAACACAGAGTTAACGTGTGAATGCAGCGTGAGGGGTGTCCCAGTGTGAACCCAGTCCATCCTGCTGCCTAACAGAATAAACCCAACGCTCTTCTGTCTTGTTTTCAAGGGGGAACGGTCAGGAGTGGAGGCCGTGCATCGTGGACTTGGCCCGTAGGCACTGTGACGTGGACCACCCGGCCTTCTGGCAGCCCATCCACACCCTGAGAGTCACCGAGACCAACGCCCTCGGCTTTGAGACAACATATGCCCGTTTTAAGCTACATGAGTTGTGTAAGATCCCATGAACACACACTAGTGCAGCGCAGACTGGACGCTTCCCCGTCCTCCTCTTCTCTCCAGTGGTCCACATGCAGCTCCAACAGGCTGTTGCAATATTCAGAAAACTACTGTTGTGATTGGCTGGGATGCTGCTGGCCCTGTCCCCGCTCATATTTTTCCAGCTGTGATATCACACGCAATTAAAGTAGCTTGTTGAAATGGTTCAGTTTCATGGCGCACAGGGGTCATGCTGTAACAGCACTTACAGGACCGGTGTGTAGGCTTTATGGGCATCTAGCGGTGAGGCTGCAGACTCTGGCCTGCTCAGTGTCCCTCCCTTTCCAAGCATGCTCAGGAGCCTATGGTGGCCTTTACTTCGAGGTAAAATGGTTGTATCTGGAGTCCATCTCTGAATAAGTCCATATAAGAGGACCCACTTCCTGTGTAGGTACGGGCTCAGGTTAACCCACACGCAGATGTTTTCTGATGTGAATGCAGTAGTCAGCCTTTATAAACTACACGTGGATGGAAGCACGCTATGTGGACGGTCACACATGTGGATGTCTGCACATCATTGTTCCTGCCTGCTGGCGTGTCTTGTTCTTGGACCATCACACAGCATCACTGAGACGGTTTTCACAGCAGCTGGTGTGTCACCGTGCTTCTGTTGTAAATAAAGAGATCAGAGTAGTGCAGTGATAACACGGCGGTGCAGGTACATGATGACAGCACTAATGACATAAACAAGAAAAAGCACATGAGGAGAATGTGTTGGACTGTATTTCTAAGTCAGTGGAAAGACTTGTGGCTGAATGGAGTTCATGTCTCTCTCTGCAGTGAAACCAGACCCTCCAGAGGCCGTGCTGGCGCAGCAGCTAGAAGGATATCCGAAGAGGCTCAACGTGTCGTGGAGCTTTCCCTCCTCCTGGCCGCTGCACGACGCCTTCCCCCTGGTGTTTCAGATCAGATACAGGCCACAGGGCTCCATATACTGGTCAGAGGTTAGTGGTGGAGGCCGTGGGCGTGGCTCTGGGGTGGATGGGGGCGGGAGGGGCACAGTGTATGTAGGTTGTGTTTGTTGTATAAGCTCATCACTCTTCACCACCACATGGAAGTAGAACCGTTTGTGAATGTGGCTTTGTTCAATCCTGCATTTATAAATCTAATGTGATTTGTTGTTTTCCCCAAAAATCTACTCACAACCGTCTGATTTTAAACACAAAGTCCCAGCAGATGAATTCAACATCAAACCACAGACCATCTCATTATTGTTCATGATTGAAGTTCTAAACCTCCACTCGCACCAACACGATGAACGAGTAGCTCCACGGACCTGTTTCAGTGTTTTAATGTCGCCTTCATCACAGCATGAGGTCCTGCTGAGCCTGTGTGGTCATTCCTGGTCGTGTCTTTCTCTCCTTCGCTCAGATCTACTCTGAGGACAGCTCAGTTGTGATCTTTGACGCCCTGTCGGGCCACATCCACCAGGTCCAGGTTCGAGCCCGGGACGAGGTGAACTCAGAGAGCCAGTGGAGCGAATGGACTCCCCAGCTCCTGGTCCGGCCCTGGGAAGGTCAGTCAGATCTACTCTGTCCATAGAGCCTGTTCACGTTCAGCAGATACTGACAAACACATCGTATTAGTATCTTGTAAAGCAAATGTCTTCCAGATGGTTTAACGTGAATACAAACATGATAGTGAGTGATGTTCTTCATAAAGAGATGGCTCTAGTGACTTCTGTATTCACACACAGTAAACCTCCTCAGGTTCATTACACTGGACTGGAGGTAGTTCCTAGACTTGGACTCTGTTTGTATTTATTAGCACCGACTTGTCCGTCTGTCCTCTCTACAGTCTACACCACCCCGGACCCGGTAGACGGGCCAGAGGAGGCCTTCGATGAGGACTATTTCTTTCCCTTCGACACAAAGCCTGAAACCTCCACTGAAAAGTCGCACAGTAAGACTCTATTCTAAATAATGCTGGTGTTGTCGTTATATTCAGGAGAGCAGGTCAACAGTCGTGCATTTACTGTCACTAAACTAGAGTGAATCAGCAGGACTATCCTCACTGGTACTGATTCTGTTGGGCTCCTATCACTGTAGTTATTGTTAATGTCAGTATTCCTGCTGTGCAGCACGTCTGCATGTCAGTGTGTGAATGCTCAGACTGAGCCAGCAGAACCAGAACATCCACCATCTCATTCTGAGGTGGGATTAAAAACACAGTGGAGCGGACCAGAGGTTGTGTTTGGTGCTGCTTTAACCGGTAGAGTCTGGTGGTGTGGAGTAGAACCAATGGGACAGATGGTTGGAAGCTGGAGCTCCATGAGAACATAATGAAGAAAATGCATGTAATTAGACATGTTTAATGTCGGCCTTTGTAACTTTGCGGACAGGATGACACACAACATATGTCATCATGATGCTTCAAATCGTATATAAACGATATTTATGTTCAGCCTATAAGCGTCTATTTGGGCCACCTTCACTTTGTGTAGCATCCAGACCCAACACAACCCAAACAGCATCTGGCTGGACGTGGAATCTGCTCCCCGGACTCGTCCTCATCGTCCCCAGTTCTGTGTTCATCACTGTGTCAGAGTCCCAGCTGCTGCCAGACGCTCGGCTGTGAATGAGTGTAACAGACTGTCTGATGCGGTGTCTCATATGAACATATATCGATGCTCCTTAAAGAGTCCACTCAGCCGGAGTCTGGCCTGGAGTTGGACCAGGATGTGTTCTGCTTGTTTTTTGGGAGCAGCAAGAAGCCTCATGTGTCATTAATGCAGCAGTGATCTCTACAAGGCATCATTTACAGTCATTACGGTGTGAGTGAGCAGTGCAGGTACCTTGTGCCTGGCTTCATCACCAAATTACATATAATTGCAGTAAATTGCAGCTGCGGGGTGTCGTGTTTTCAACCATGCTGCATGTGCGCTGGATGAAAAGTTAAGTGAGCAGGAGCAAAAAAACAAAAACCCAGAGTTAAAAGCAGCCTGCAGATGCCGTCTAAAATATACACATGCAGGATGTGCACAACAAGTATACACACACCCACACGCAGTGTATACAAGAGACAAATGAGGGTTTGGCTTCAAGGCGCTGTGACTGATGCTGTCGGCCTCTTTCTCTCCTGTGGACCAGATGTCTTCTTCTATTTGTGTCTCTTGTGTATGAGAGTCCGCTGTCATTTGCACATGTGCTCATAAATCGCTCTTTAATGCAGTCGATGCCACGTCTGTTCTTCTTTCTCTCTGATTTTATTTCTGATGTGTGTTTCTGACTTTCACAGTCCAGGATGGTGTTTCTGTTGCTGGTGTGTGAAAGCCAGTTGTTTACTCCTCTCCCTGTAATAAATGCATGTTTGTGTGAAAGCTATAATGGTAGATTTAAAATTAACTTCTCACCAGAGAGTAATTAAATCCCAGAACACACACAAACAGTTTTTTTTTTTCTGGCTCTCACACAGAGACGCAGCAGAGACGTGTGAACGCTTTCATCCACTTTATCTCGTCGCCCATCTCACTGTTTATTTGTCTGTATTTGCTTTCAGCATTGTCTCCTCTCTCTGACTCCAGGTCTCTGTGTCTGCTGTCCTGCTGCTTTCTGTGCTTTCTGACCTCCTGGTGTTTGTTTCCTTCCTCTTCCATCCAGATCCTGTTCACGAGGATGACGGGAGTCTGGGTTTGGTGATTCTCCTGGTTTTGTTCTCCGTGGTCATCCTCACCACCATCCTTTCCCTCATCTTTGTTGTGTGGTAAGACACACACACACACACACA